AGAGCAAGAGAGGAATGACAGTTAGCCGTTGAATGGTAGGCGGGATTTTTTCATCTAGCGGAACAATGAACTTTTACACTATTAACTTAATTAAAAATCAACTATTGGATATTCGGAGTTAACTTTACCCACTATATTAGTAATATCATATAACTATTCTTTTGGTTAAATTTGTATACGAAATCGAGCTCGCCTATAACATGGTAGGTCAGGTTCGGAATATGACAATAAAGGACCGAAGATCGATCCCATGTCCGACCGGGCTAGAACCCGGGGTTAGGACGCCTGGCTTCGAGAATATCGAGGCCATGATCCCAGAATCGATCCTAGTCCCGAACGAGCTCCAAGCAACATTGTTAACATAGCCAACAGAAGGCCAAAATGTCCGTGACTAGTCGGATATTACGACGGAAATCTCGGCACTTATCAATAAGGGGCCCGCAATCAGCAAATCAAGGGATTTTTTAGCATTTATAGAATTGTACCTAAAGTAGGACTCCTCTACCATATAAAGGGGGCCTTATAATTAATTTAAGACACTGTAACACACATCCAAAGCAATACATTATTATTTCTCTCTTTAAGCTCTTATTCTTCCGTATCTTAGATCAACCGAAGTGCATCTAGTCCCAAGACTGTAACTGTTCCATTCGTGTGATTTGAGTTTACTTTATCATTGCTTATTTCAATTGCAACTTAATTTATCGCTTTATGTCAAGATAGATTCTCCACAATTTTTTATACCCTAATCGAAATCTTATCGTGGATAAGTTCAGTGACTCTTATTAAGCTAATCTTCTCTAGTTGATTATAACACCCTAATCCAAATTTTCATAGAGTATTTACTTTATTTCAGTCTTGTAATTGTCGCATGAAAGTTGGAATAAATTATTACCTGCATATATACGCGATAGTGCTACATTTTTAGGAGTCGACAAGGCTTTGTAAACGTATCTTTCAACAAAACAAACAAGTTCAAACAAATAAAAACGTAAAATGTCAATTATTTTGGGTACAACATGACCCCACAATATATATGGTGATCTTACATTCTCACAAGAAATCTTCAACTTAATAATTAAAATCTATAATAAAAAATGTTACACTTCAATTTATTTTACTCCGTGTTCAATCGTTTAATCATCTTAATTTGACTAGGCACTGATTTTTTTTTTAGAAAAAAAGACTTTTTAGTTTTGTAGTATTAAATTAAAAATGTGAGTAATGTACCAAAATATTATTTGAATCTTATGGCCTTAATCATGTCATGTCATGTAGAGTGTTAAATTTAAAACTACCAAATATAAAAAGCAATAATTTTGTCGAAACAGCTAAAAAGGAAAGTAATGCGCAGTGAGTTTATTTTTTGGAACCGTCCCACATGTATGATGTATCTAGGACATTAATTTCCTTATGGCTTCTAGAGGTTAACTGTCTATTTTCCGTTTGGTCTTTGTCTATAGTATTCTTACCACTACCAATTGGACCCGAAAAACGTGTAGATGCAAAAGGTGTAAGTTTTGATGACCTCTCACGCAATAATCTTATCCCTCCTTTTCAATTTAGGTGAACCTATTCATTTGTTAGTCTGTTCTAAAAAGAATGTTATCTTTCTAAATTTGGTAACTATTTAGCTTAAACTTACAACTCTATCTTTAATGAAAAGCTTTTATAACTACACAAATACTCTGGATACCTTTTTGAGTTGTTTAGGACCACAAATTTCAAAAGTCTTCATTTTTTTTAAACTCCGTGCCTAGACAAACATGGTCACATAAATTAGAACGGAGTTCTTCCTCATCGTAACCTTATAATCCTTGTTGAATAATCAAATTTTGGGATCAGAAAATAGTTTAGGACTGGACAGAGATAGAAAGGAGCAACGTCGTAGAATAAATCAATATGGCCATGGAAGCACATACGACTGAGCTAGGAGGTTCCATGAAAGTTCCTTCTGTTCAGGAGCTGGCAAAGCAGAAATTGGTGACGATTCCATCGCGATATGTACGCGATGATCAGGACCGTTCAATCTCATCATTAGACAAGGAAGTTCCAGTCATTGACATGCAACATTTAAACTCTACTGACTCTATGAATCTCGAGCTTCAGAAATTGCATTTTGCAGCCAAAGATTGGGGTTTCTTTCAGGTACTTATCTATATTTCCTAGTGTTGAGATTTTACAGGTTGTAACTGAATATATTCAAGAAAATAGAAGTGAAATACGAATAATTTGTGTATGCACTCAATATGCTAACATTATTTGCAGTTGATTAATCACGGAGTAAGTTCTTCAGTGGTGGAGAAAATGAAATCTGAGATTCAAGAATTCTTCAATCTGCCATTAGAAGAGAAGGCGAAGTTTGAACAATTGGCAGGGGATACAGATGGATTTGGGCAACTGTTCGTTGTCTCTGATGAACAAAAGCTTGACTGGGCAGACATGTTTTGCTTAAAGACCTCGCCTACACATTTAAGGAGGCCTATATTTTCCAAACTTTCCCTTCCATTTAGGTATGTATAATGTCCTTTTCTAGTAATCAACCATAATATTCAACAGTTGTCCTGAGCGGAGGGTCTATTGGAAACGTCTCTATCTTCACAAGGTAGATGTAAGGTCTACGAACACACTACCTCCCCAAGATTATACCGGGTACTTGTTACAAATCTAATATCAGAATATTTGTTAGGTGTGTGTGAGAATAAGTCCACATGAAAAGTAGGGAAAAAGGTACTTATGAGACTTGAATATTCTTAATGGAGTGAAACATTAGAGGAAAATCATGTTGGCTTGGACCAAAGCAGATGTCGAATAATATTATACAATGTTAAGAGTATTTTTGAGTGGTTTATTAGATGCCGATGGTAAGCAACTTCCACTTCCAACCAAGAGATTGTGAGTTCGAGTCTCTCCAAGAGCAAGATGAGAAGTTCTTGGAGGTAAGGATGTCGGGGGTCTATTTGGAAACAGCCTCTCTACCACAGGATAGGGGTAAGTTCTGCGTACACACTACCCTACCCAAACCCCACTAAGTGAAATTATACTGGGTTGTTGTTATTAGATGCCGAGCTAAGGCGGCTACTGTAGGTTCGCCTGAACCATTGTTTTTGCCTTGAATTATGTATTACAACACATATTAGAAGATCATATGATTTTGAACGTACTAACTCTAGATTCTGAATTTCTGATTTCACCTCTGAACTTTATTACCTAAATCGGAATTTAATTTTATAAATCCCATGTTCTTGGAATATGCAGAGAGACAATTGAAGCGTACTCAGAAGAAGTAAAGGAGCTAGCAATGAAAGTTCTGGACCTGTTGGGTAAAGCTCTGGGGATTGAAGCAGAAGAAGTGAACAACCTTTTTGGAAAAGGGATGCAATCAGTGAGGATGAATTACTATCCACCCTGTCCACAACCAGAACTTGTGATGGGACTTTGCCCTCACTCTGATGCATGTGCCTTAGCAATCCTTCTTCAAGTCAATGAAACTGATGGTCTTCAAATTAGGAAAGATGGAATTTGGATTCCCGTTTTACCCCTCCCCAATGCCTTCATAGTCAATGTTGGAGACTCTTTGGAGGTACTTTCTCCATTCAATTTCCACTACTTATTACTCCCTCCACCGTCTTATTTTATGAAGGTGTTGGGGACATTTCAAATATATTTCCCTCAATTTCAAGAACATTGTTACTTTTTTTTTTAAAACTTCTGGGAGTATCAATTTCACAAGCATTTTATTAAGTGGTCTTTTTTTACTAAATAGTGTTAGAGTTAGTGTTAGTACTGATATTTCATAATTGCATTATTATTTGAAGTAAAGGAAATACCAAGAAGTGACATTCTATCTATGTAACTTCCTCCATTCTTTCAAATTTGCTTATTTACATTTAATTTGCATTGTAAGCTATTGGTAAAGACGTCAATAATACTAAACACCAAGGATTGAAGATTCTGAAACTATGACTATTATGAGTTTATTTGTTTTAACTGTCTAATAACTTGGTACTGTGCTATATCAAAATTTAAAGCTCTTAACTTTTCTTTTTCCAGATTTTTTCAAATGGAATTTACAGAAGCATAGAGCATAGATCAGTGGTGAGCGCAGTGAAAGAAAGAATCTCCATAGCAACATTTCATAGTCCAAAATTGGATGGTGAATTAGGTCCAGCTAAAAGCCTTATTACTGCTGATAGTCCACCGATATTTAAAACTATAAATGTACATGAATATTTTAGAGGATTCTTCACCCGTAAACTTGACGGGAAATCATATGTGGACACCGTGAGAATCACTTGTGAAAATGACCTATAAAACCTTTTATATGAAAGATAAAATAAAACAAATCACTGCTTATGTATTGGAATCATGCTATGCTTTGATATATAGTTACAACTTTTATGGATGGTTGTTACTAACATCGTTTTATAATCGTTTGTTTCGTATTGTAATATTTCGTGGACATAATATTTGAATAGATTATATCGTTTGTTATTGTTTAAATAGTAAATTTTTTTGTTATTTACTTTCAATGCATTGTATTGTACAATAAGGTACTAAAATACTTGTTATTGCTACAAATATTAAATTTATCAATAATTACAATAAATTAATTTGATACAACTTCGCCATCGTATGTGGACACCATGCGAATCACCAGTGAAAATGACTCTTCCATCTCAATTCTCAACCATAAATTATAAAGACTATTCCGTCCGACTTGTTCCAAATTTTAAATTATCTGACATTATTTTCTAATTAATAAATTTGTTTCTCAAAGAATGATATATTTTTGTATTTAAAATAATATAATTTTAAACTTTTTATTTTTTCTGTAATGAGAAGTTTTATAGCAAAACAAATACAACAACAACAACTCAGTATAATCTCACTAGTGGGGTCTGGGGAGAGTAGAGTGTACGCAGATTTTACCCCTACCCTAGGGTAGAAAGGCTGTTTCCAAATAGACCCTCGACATCCTTCCCTCCAAGAACTCCCCGCCTTGCTCTTGGGGTGACTCGAACGCACAACCTCTTGTGATCACATATAACAAAACAAATGTTATGACATATTTATTACGATCACATGTGTAAAAGTATTTTAGCCACACAAATATATTATGATATGTTTAATACCATAAATTCAGAAATATTTTTTTTGAACTTTATGTCGGATCAAATCAAGTCATATAGATTGGAAGAGAGAGTATTAAAATAGTGGAATCGAGTGAGAGGATTTTGTGCTTTCTCAATTTACGCAATCAAACAATAAGGGGAAAAAATAATATTCAGGTCGTTTTCTCCTGCCCAACCTACTAATTATCTGTCATTATAAAATGTCTATGAATTAATTACAGCTATATGAATTTTTGCATTGTTGATGAGGGTTCAATTCCTCACTTCTCCTGTTTTTCCCTTGAATTTTTTTTTGAGGGAGAGCCGTGAATACACACGCAAATACTGTTAACGGAGAAATTTGATTATGATGTGATATTCCACCTAATATTTTTAGATAAAATTTGATTTATTTATACAGTATAATTTTATAGTGAAACGATATCAATGGACTCTCCTTAACAAAGAGTGGCTCATCAACAGCCTCACATTAATTTTTGTTGGTTGAGTGAGATGTATCTTTTTCGTGTTCACATTATTAGATTGTACTATTACATAACTGGTATACATAAGAAATTGATTATGTATAATACTTCTAGAAAACATTTTATCATTTGCCCTGCACTGCCAGGTAAGCAGATACACACATTTACTACATTTTCTTTTTTGTTTTGTCGTCAATGTTCTTTCCAACAGTATCCAGACAATTATTTGGAAACAAAGAACTTTACTTCTTCTCCTCCATGCTTTTCTGAGTCCGAGGGTCTATTGGAAACATCATCTCTATCTTTATTAAATAGGGGTAAAGTTTGCGTACATATTATCCTTTTCAGATCCTAAATATGGAAATATATCGGGTGTGTTGTTATATAATTTAAAGTCAAATCGTATTCTTCTATATTATAAAAATGAGGTTAGGTGTGCCTAATTCTTCCCCCACCATACACACACATAAGAAGATACTATATATAAATTTGTGTGTATGAATAAACAAGAGCAAAATTATAATTAAGCTAGTAGTTATAATGATGGAGGAAAATTTGGCAACGACGCTAGGTGGAACGTTGGCTGTGCCAAGTGTTCAAGAACTGGCCACAGACTCACCGGAAAAAGTCCCGGCGCGTTACGTGAGAGATGATCAAGATTTTTCTCCGATCAAATCATCTACTTCTATTAGTTTCTCTGATAATATCCCAATCATCAACATGGAAAGCTTGCTTCTTGGAGATGAAATCGAATTGAAGAAGCTTGATTCTGCTTGCAAAGACTGGGGATTTTTCCAGGTTCTTTTTTCGAATATATAATTTACTTAAGCTGTATATTTGTAAATAAGTAGTATCTTGAAGGTTAGGAGTCATTTGGTATATATCAGGGCGTAAAGGAAATAATCTCATTAGAACGTTTTATTACCTCTCTAGGTATTATACCATTTTCAACATGGGATAATAATCACAGGATGTAATCCAAATCCCACCTAATTTTTTAAACTTAAAATAGGCGGTGAATGTATTATCGAGGTTAACAATTCCTTGAATAAACCAACCAAATGATAAAGATGTCCTTCTCCTAAAGCTACATCTCCACCAAAATCTTTTGAAAAAGTCAAAGTTAAAATAAAAATAAAAATTTATTCAAGTTTATTTAGTTTCAAGCGAAACACATGTTTTGAATATTTATACGACATGATCTCAATTTTATTTCAATGAATAAAACAACTTGTACTAAATAATTCAGAAATTATTAATTTCACTATTAGAATTCATACATTATAATCCTATATAATTTTTTTTCCGTGAACCAAAAGAACCATTAGGGGGAGTTAGTAGTTACAGTGCATATGAATATTTTTACGCGTGCAAATTGGACTTATTAGATTCTCAAAAGTTTAATTTAATTGCATATTCCTTTTTATTGTTGTTTGCAATGATTACACAGCTGATAAATCACGGAGTGAGTGGTTCATTAGTTGAGAAAGTGAAGAAGGACACTCAAGATTTCTTCAACCTCCCAATGGACGAAAAGAAAATGTGGAAGCAAGTGGATGGAGATTTGGATGGTTTTGGACAAGCTTTTGTTGTTTCTGAGGAGCAAAAACTTGACTGGGCTGATCTCTTCTTCTTGACAACCCTCCCTCCTTTTTTGAGAAAACAACATATGTTCCCCCGTCTCCCTCTACCATTCAGGTACCCTCCACTCTCTCTTTAAATTTTATAACAATGTATGAGTAATTCAAATTTGTGTCGCATAAATTTAAAGTTACGAAAAGTTTTGCTATTTTTAAGGCTCGAACTAGAAAATTCTGATAAAGAATGAAGGAATATTTTCCATCTCACTATAACGCTCTGTGATCTCTCCAGCGTTATTGTCATGCTTGTACTTTTATAAAACTAATTAGAAGGGAAAAAGAGAAGAAGTCGGACAAGTGTTAATCAACTCACACCTTATTACGTACTAGAATATAAACCTTGTAAATACAACTCACACACGTACATTACAACTAAGTGCCCTATAGTTAACTCACAATATACTGGAGTTTCAACATAATATGCTGGAAGTTTATACACAGGTACTCCAATCTTCAGTATATTATGTTGTAACTTTCCGTGTGTTGGAGTTCATACACAGGTGCATCAATCTCAGTATATTATGCTGGAATTTTTCGTGTTGCAGCAAAATAGCAGTTATTACAATGACTTCTTTTTATGCTCCAGTATATTATGCTCGAAAGTCCATTTTGTCTTTTTTTTTTCTTAAATTTATTTTTTTGATTTTTTTCTTTCTGGCTCTTTTTGTGTGTTTGGTTAGTGTGTACGGTCGAAATCGGGCTCGTCCGATTTCTGATAGACCAGGTTTGAAACATGATAGGTTGAAGATCGATCCCGGGTTCCATTGAACCAAGATACGAAGTCAGAATACCCGTCCTCGATAACATCGAGTCCATGACCCCAGAATCGACCCTGACACCGAATGAGCTCGAGAAAACATTGCCAGACCGGGTAATGGAAGGCAAAATATGCGTAGCTGGTCGGGTATCACGGCGGGATTCTCGGCGCATATCAACGAGAAACCGGTTAATCTGCAAATCATGGAATTTTTACTTTTTATAGAATTGTGCCTAAAGTAGGACTTCCCTACTATAAAAGGGGGTCTGATTATTTGTAAAACACATTGTAACACGCATCCCAAAGTATTATAATATTATTTTCTTCCTACAAGCTATTGTTCTTCTATATCTGATACCATTTGAACTACATCCAGTTCGAGCGAGGCGTACTTTTTAAGGCTATAATTGTTGTCATACGGTTTGAATTTACTTTCTTATTGTTCGCTTTATTTATAATTCAATTTATTGCTTTGTGTCAACTTAATCCATGTATCTTTAAAACCACTTAGAAATTTGATTGTTATCCAATTTTGAGGGTAAAAAAGTTAAGGATAATAGTGGTTATTTGATACAAATTTTCATAACACACTATTTTACACTTGTTCTTTGAAGTGTCTCTAATTTCAGGCTTAAGCTTAAAATGTCAAACTCACAATTAGCACCTCTACCTGCTTACAATGAGTCTGGTCACCACGGTGAAAATAATAACATAGTGCCCGATAACGAGACCGCTCGTTGATCCCATCGAATTCCAATTGCGGACCCGTTGGACGCTAATTCGCATGTGGCTATCGAAATAAGCCTCCCTACTGACCCCGAGAATAGCATCCATGGTGGAGCCCGGTCGACAAACAAGCATGTCACTTGCGCCATCAAAGGAAATTACTTGGAGGATGATGAGATTGACTTTGTCTTGCTGAAGAAATTCGGTGAAACCCTGTCAAAGGGAGTTATGATATGGTATCACAACTTACCCCCTAACTCTATTGACTCATTTGCTATGCTTGTAGACTCTTTTGTCAAAGCAGACACTGGGGCTATCAAGGTCGAAACCAAGAAGTCGGACCTCTTCAAAGTAAGGCAAAAGGATAATGAAATGCTCAGAGAATTCGTGTCTCGGTTTCAAATGGAACGGATGGACCTACCATTGGTTGCTGATGATTAGGCCGTTCAAGCTTTTACCCAAGGATTTAATGTTCGAAGTTCGGTGGCTTCACCACAATTGCAGCAGAATCTGATAAAATATCTGGCTATCACTTGGGCTGATGTGTATAATCAATGCCAATCAAAAATCATAGTCGAAGATGATCAACTTGAGGCTTCTTCCGGGTCCGTTTACCCTGTTAGACCCATCGACAGAGTCAAGAGAGATATAAATCATGAACCAAGGCCGAACACGAATCTGTATCAAATGTACAATGAGGATCAAAGAAGTAGTGGGTCCAGACAAAGTTTTATGCGAAAAGAAAGGAGAAATGTCCAAGGCTAGAGCAGCCGGGGACTCATGAGCAAGAACGATTTTGATAGGCCTATCGGACCTAAAGAAGCACCAAGGTTACCAGAATATAACTTTAACTTTGATGTTGCTGCCATCGTATCGGCTATCGGACACATCAAAGATACCAAATGGCCTCAACCTCTGCAATCCGACCTAGCCCAAACGGATCAAAACCGGATGTGCAAATATCATGGCACTCACGGCCACAAAACAAAGGATTGCTGACAATTGAGGGAGGAGGTAGCTCGGTTATTCAACAATGGGCATCTTCAAGAATTTCTGAGTGGCCGAGCCAAGAATCATTTCAGAAATAGGGACTCTAATAAACAAACCAAGTAAAAAGAACCTCAACACGTCATTCACATGATCATCGGAGCAGTCGATGTTCCTCAAAGTCCGATGTAAAATGCACCAAAGTATCCATCATAAGGAAAAAAGAACTCGAGATTACATACAGAAGGAACTTTGTCTTTCAGCAACGACGACGCAGAAGGAATCGTGCAGCCCTACAACGATGCACTAGTAATATCTGTACTCATGAATAAATCTCAAGTTAAACGTATGTTAATTGATCCGGGTAGTTTGGCCGACACCATTCGGTCGAGGGTCGTAGAACAACTCGGCCTATAAGACCAAATCAAGCCTGCAGCCTGAGTTGTAAACGGATTCAACATGACATGTAAAACTACTAAGGGAGAAATAATGTTACCAGTAAACGCCACCGGGACCATCTAGGAAACCAAGTTTTATGTGATTAAAGAGGACATGAGGTACAATGCCCTGTTGGGGAGGCCATGGATCCACAATATGATGGTAGTTCCCTCGACTCTTCACCAAAGACAGCTCAGTTTAGTTTGTCTGAAGATGGGACCTTGTTCAGAAGAATGTATGATGGCCCATTGGCAATATGTCTAGGACTAGGAGATACCGAGTACGTTATGAGGGAAGTTCACGAGGGCACCTGCAGAATTTAGGCGCCGAATCATTGGTTCGAAAGATAATCAAAGCCGGCTATTACTGGATTAACATGGAAAAAGACGCGAAGAAGTTCGTACGAAAATATGATAAATGCCAGGGACATGCTCCGATGATTCACCAACCCGAGGAGTTGCTGCGTTCGATCTTATCGCCATGGCCATTCATGAAGTGTGGAATGGACATCGTTGGCCCTCTTCTATGGGCACCTAGTAAGGGTCAATTTATATTGTTTATGACTGACTATTTTTTCTAAGTGGGTGGAAGCCCAGACATACGAGAAAGTTAGGGAGAAGGAAGTCATCGACTTTATTTGGGATCACATCATATGTCGTTTTAGAATGCCATCTGAAATCGTGTGCGACAACGAGAAACAATTTATCGGCAGCAAAGTGACCAAATTTCTCGAAGACCATAAGATCAAAAGGGTCCTGTCAACACCTTATCACCCTAATGGAAATGGACAAGCAGAATCGACCAATAAAACCATACTCTAGAACCTCAAAAAAAGGTTAACCGACGCAAAAGGAAAATGAAAAGAAATCTTACCTGAAGTCCTATGGGCATACCAAACAACCTCAAAGTCCAGTATCGGGGCCACCCGGTTCTTGTTGGTTTACGGCGCCAAAGCTCTAATATCGGTCGAAGTCGGTGAACCACATATCAAATTTCGATATGCTACCGAGGAATCGAATGATAAGGCCATGTGTACGAGCCTAGAGCTATTGAATGAAAGGTGTGAAGCCGCCCTTGTTCGGATGGCTGCCCAAAAGTAGCGGATCGAGAGGTACTACAATCGAAGGGCCAACCTTCGGCACTTTAATATCGGGGACTTAATACTAAGGAAGGTCACACTAAGCACATGTATCCCGAACTAAGGGAAATTGGGACCAAACTGGGAAGGACCATACCAGATCATCAAGATCACTGGAAAGGGATCCTGCAAACTCGGAACAATGAAGAGCGACCAACTACCGAAGAATTGGAATATAACTCACTTGAAGCGGTACTATTGCTAAGGTATAACCCCATTCATTTCCTTTTTACTTATTTTTGAACTAATTCTTGTAGGTAACCAACAAGAAGCGGTACAGATTTTTAGGTCTGAAAGCACGCGTTGCACTCTTTTTTCCTTGAATCGGTTTTGTCCCAAATGGATTTTCTAGCAACGTTTTTAATGAGGCAACAGTAGATCGTGCTAACTTAGAATAGAAGGCCGGTCATAAACCGGTGTCAAAGATTATATCAACAGTATCTGAGGTTTTTCCCTATAATCAACCTCGAATACTGAGGGGCATTGCCCCTTAGATATCGATTTTAGCAAGCAAAGAAACTTCGTGATTGAAGGGTCTCGATAGATAGGACTTATTATAAGGGCAAAACGGTCAAAACAACCGTGCCCGCATACACCGCTCGAGTTCTTCATGTACGCATGTATAACTATTTAGAACTAGAATAAAAATAAGTCTCTTTCTTGCGGATAAATATTTTGTCCTTTTAATTTTTTTTTGCATTTTCTCAGGGAATTTCCTACATCCGATCCCCTAAAGGTATCGAGCCTAAGGGACACCTTAATCTGAGTTCGAACAATCACTCTCACTTGGGGACTACCGTCCAAAAACAAATTCGGGCGGTTCGGGCTGTCAGAATTCGGGTGCACAAGACCAATTAGGCAAGAGCCTGAATTTTAGAGGCCCCGCCATCCCAACTCAGGGACTGTTATTCTAGGCAAGCCCCGATAACTCGGGGTGACAAACCCATTAGGCAACACCCGAACTAAAAAGGCTACGATCAAATTAAAACGGCTCGGAGATGTCCGAGACCCGTAACATAAATAACAAGGCCTCGAAGTTTCCTAAACGGTTCTAAAAGCTACCCTTGGCAAACTATAATCTAAGAAAGTACAAGTACTTTGGGCGGAAAAATTTCAGCCACACCGAAACCCCACAATGCCTTAAAAATAAAATAATGTTAAAGACAAGGCTTGTTCGAACCACCGGACATAAACCTAACTATTTCATGCTAAGGCATGTTAATCTTTATGAATATAAAAAAGCAAAAAACTTAGAAATTAATGAAGGGAAAAAAGGCTTTATATATATCAAAAAAAATTTACAAGGGCCAAAAGGGCCTCAACCAAAGAGAGAAACGAAAAAAATTTAAAGATCCTAAGTGGCCTAGTCTTCGCAGGGGACTGCCTCGTCACCCTTGGGATATCCTTCGTCTTCGCACTTGCTTAAACCCTCAGAGTCATTATCATTATCGGGATAAGCCAACTTTTTAACCTTGGCTTCGAGCTCCTTGGCGCTCTCGATTTTGGCCGACAAGTCGAAACCTCGAGCATGAATTTTCTCGAGAGCCTCCCTTCGGGATTGACACTTTGTGAGTTCATTGAGATCCTTTGCTCGAACTTGGGCCACCTCGGCATCGGCCTTGTAAATGGCCACCATCTCCTCAGCATCAACCTTGACCATTTCGGCCTTCGATATGGCTGTCTCAAGCTCCTTGGCTAGATTTTCTCGATCGGAGACGGCCGAATTTAGCTGCGACTGAAGTTTCTCAATCTTTTTGGCCTATACCGAATCCTTTTCCTTTACAGTTCGAAGTTGGATCCCAGCCAAAGCCAGTTGTGTCCGGGGAGACTCTTTTTCTGAGGCCAAGTGGTCCATGTTGCTTTTCCACTCTTCGGCCTCGACCTTCACCACATCTACCTTTTCCCGTAGCTACTCGATCCGATCAAGCTTCTGTTGGACCTATGGGTTTGGACCGTTAGTCACCATGTCTGATTTGCAGTCACTAACTTCAAAACTCTTCTTACCTGCTCAACCAGGTCGGCATGCTCTTTCCGAGCCACCCCTAACTCAGCCCGGAGGCTCTTAACTTCCCCTTTATTTTGCTTACTGAGAAGTTTGTAATTATCTCTTTTCTTAGTGAGCCCTCGGATCTCAGCCTCGTACTGGTTCAGCTCTTCCCGATAGCGAAGAAACATCTCGTGGTGAAGTACCGAGGCCTACAAACATAGAGAAAGGAGTTATGATCACCTACAAACTAATCTAAGTATAAACTAGAAATTATTAAGAGGTATCTCAATTTACCCGATTTAACACCTGTTGAGCTTCATTGAACAGGCAGGGTACTTCCACCTCATTCATCTTGGTCTGGTCCTCCTCTGTCACCAAGCACCGGAGGTAACTAGACACCCTTAGGGGAGCAGAAAGAACCCGGGCTCTTTTGCGATATACATAACGATCGACCACTTCCGGTTAGGATTCAAATTCAGAGCCAGGAACCGGTTGACTAGTTTGGTCCTTGAGGAAGGTCCATTTATCCCCAATGATGGACTTTTTCTTGGCATCGGTAAATTACCCAACCCGGAGACGTCCTCTGTAGCGGTAGAGTATACACTATCAAAAAAGTTCTGAAAGGGGTCTACCGCCCCTTGTGCCTCTTCGTTGGGGCGTCCTTTCAGTGTCTGAGCCTCGGTAAACATAGGCTCGGTAAATAAAGGCAACTCAAAGAGGTCAATCACTCTGAGTACCTCCTTCAGGGCACTATCTGCTGTCCGGGAAGAATCGGCTACGATCTCATTATCAGCCTCCCTAACTCGAGGCAAAGTGGCCTCGCCCCCTTCTAGTTCGGAAGCTTCGGCTAAAGCTCCCCTGTTGACCTCCCCAAGTCGAGGCAATTCACTTTCAGCTCTTACCGCTTCGGAGGCCCCTCGTACCTCGAGCCTTGACCGCATGCGGGCTACTAGTTTGGAGGTTTCTTCTTCTTCTGACTTGTCCCTCAACCAGTGGAGTGAGTCCGAAGAGGGCGCCCGAGCACTGGTGCTACCCTTAGATTTACGCACCAGACTTTTTTTGTTCTTTTCTTTTTTGAGCTCGGAGAACTTGGGTCCTCTTTCTTTTCTTCTCATCACCCTGCCTCCGAGCAGGGGACTTGCCGTGTACATCCTCGTTACCGGATGGAGGCCTCATGGAAATATCCTTGGAAAGACCTACAAAGGGAAATGGAATGAATAAGAGCTCTACGACACGAGGAAAAAATCAAGTATTATTCACATGGGAAATGAAACTCACTGTGAGAGCAGGCCTCCCACCATCCCTTTGAAAGCTCACACCATGCCCGCTTGAAATACGGTTTTTGGGACACATGGCCCTTGACCCACTCCTTGAGTCGAGAAATTGCATCTGGAACCCGAGCAATAGCTGCATCAGCAACAAACATCGATAAGAAAGGAGGAAAAGTGTAAAAAATAAATTTTTTGGGAATAACGGAGCTTTGCTTACGTTTTGTGTTCCACTCCTCAGGGAACGACATGTCCTCGGCCGGGATCAGATCCGAGGTCCTCACTCGGAAAAATTTGCCCAGCCAACCTCGGTTTTGATCTTCATCAATGCTCGAGAACGGGGCTTTAGAGGCCCGACGTGCAAGTTTAATCACCCCCCCCTCGCGGAAGAATTAGGGGCTATATAGGCGCATAAGGTGGTCGATAGTAAATGGGCATCCATCAATCTTGCTCACGAAGAATCGGAGAAGGTTGACTATCCCCCAGAACGAGGGGTGGATCTGACCAAGGCACACCTCGTACCTTTTACAGAATTGGATGATCACCGGGTCCAACAGGCCCAACATAATAAGTGTAAACACTTAAATATCCCTTAACGTTGGTAGTGATATCTTCTTCGGGTCCAGGAATCACCACGTCGTTTCCGGCCCAGTTGTAGTCCTTTATGACTGAAGGGAGGGTTTCTTCGGTGATCGAGCAAATATATCTCAATACTTTCTCGTCCCGGCCCGGAATGGGTGAAGGTTTTTCAACTTTAAAGTCGGCGGTCACCGAGCACCCGCCAGGAATAAACGCGCCAAGAGGAGGTTCCGCCGTTGGTTCCTCACCGGCCGGTCGTGATGAAAAAGCAGTTTCTTTTTAGGAACTATATTAGACGTCTTCGCCATTTTCTTTTGAGTAAAGATGAAGGAGAGGAAGTTAAAAGAGTACGCATAATGGTTTGGAGTGAAGATAAGTGAGAATTCTTGCAAAGACCTTAAGAAATCTGGGCACAAGTGTTGGAGAATGCAAAGATTTTAAGAACAAGAGTAGAAGAGGTTTGAACGTAAAGGCTGAATGAATGAAGGATGGAGTATTTATAATTTTCAAATGACGGTTCAAAATCTGAAGTGGCCGAACAGCAACTGACGAGCATTTAATGTCATTAAGACGTGATAGACGAGACGTTTCGTTTAGATTGTCGTTTCTGACGCGAGGTATCGAGGCAAGAATCGGGAGCTCATCTCGTTTCTCGTAATTTATTCTCCAAAAAATGAGGGGACTATCTGTATACGACAAAATCGGGCTCGTCCGATTTCTGACAGACCGGGTTTGAAACGTGATGGGTTGAAGATCGACCCCGGGTTCCATTAAACTAAGATACGAAGTCAGAATACCCATCCTCGATAACATCAAGTCCATGACCTCGGAATCGGGCTTGACCCCGAATGAGCACGAGAAAACATTGCCAGACCGGGTAACGGAAGGCGAAATATCTGTAATTGGTCGGGTATCACGGCGTAATTCTCGGCACGTATCAATGAGAAACCGGTTAATCTGCAAATCATGGGATTTTTATCATTTATAGAATATGTGCCTAAAGTAGGACTCCCCTGCTATATAAGGGGGTTTGATTATTTGTAAAACACATTGTAACACGCATGCCAAAGCATTATAATATTATTTTATTCCTGCAAGCTACTGTTCTTCTGTATCTGATACCATTTGAATTACATCCAGTTCGAGTGAGACGTACTTTTCAAGGCTATAATTGTTCAAGTCATATGGTTTGAATTTACTTTATTATTGTTCGCTTTATTTATAATTCAATTTATCGCTTTGTGTCAAATTAACCCACATATCCTTAAACCACATATAAATCCAGTTGTTATCCGATTTTGAGGGTAAACAATTAGCTTGTGTAAGAAGTGGTTAAAAGATATCACAGGTTAATCTGGTTTAACTTTCCTCCAAAATTTAATGAATTCGAAAGGAAATAATTTCCTGATTTTCTTTCCTTTAAAACAAACACATATAACCAAATGACTCCTACTTTTTCTTCTCTACTTTATTTGGTCTGAGTGCATTTTTTTTTTTTGGAAACTCAGTTCTGCTATTTTCTTTGCAAATACTATTTAGATTAATTTCCATAGGGAAGACGAACCTTGAATAATACATTTGATAGGGCAAAAAAAGTTTTACATGTCACCTAAATGAGATATATAGGTAAGTGTTTATAAAAAGTGAAATTAATAATCTGAAAATTAAAGCAAGTTATCTGCTACAACACGTTAAGATACGTTGATATTGTTAAAAAGTGGTACTATTGTTAGTATACATGAGTTAAATCCGAGCTGATATGAGATGTGGTTGTCTCATGCCAACTAAAATCCAGGATATTGGCTAATTAGTTGATGTGTTGAAGCAGAGAAACGGTGGAACTATATGCAGCTGAATTGAAAACATTGGCTTTAAAGATAATTAACTTTATTGCGAAAGCATTGAATATAGATGAAGAATACATGAGTGAATTGTTTGGAGAAGGGATGCAAGCGATGAGGATGAACTACTATCCACCCTGTCCCGAGCCAGAGAAAGTGATCGGTCTTTCTCCTCATTCAGATGGTGTTGGCCTCACAATTCTCCTTCAACTTAACCAAATGGAAGGACTTCAGATCAAGAAAGATGGCATGTGGATTCCTATTAGTCCTCTTCCTAATGCCTTCATTATCAACATTGGTGATATCTTAGAGGTCATTAATCTGCTAAAACTGTCTTCTCTTTTCTTTTATTTTACTATATCAAACTATATATTAATATGTGTATATATTTATTTGCAGATAGTGACTAATGGAACCTACCGTAGCATTGAGCATAGAGCAACCGTTAATAACGAGAAGGAGAGACTCTCAATTGCAACATTTTACAACCCTAAACTTGATGGACTAATTGGTCCTGCTCCAAGTATCATTTCCTCTGAAAATCCGGCAAAGTTCAAAAATATTGGAGCTGCAGATTATTTCAGAGGTTTATTTGCTCGTAAGCTTGATAAGAAATCGTACTTGGATGTTATGAGAATTGAAAATTATGAGAATCCAGCAAGTTGAAACTCCTTAATATCCCTATATTTGTATTATATTTAAGTTATTATCCTAAATTAATAAATATACTTTTAGACTATTTTCTTCTAGTAATTGTTTTTGTTACTTAAGTTAGACCTTCCAGTCAAGCATTATCTGTCAAAGATGTTTTCCTGATGCAATTGGGGTCATTTTGGTGGAAAATGATGAATTACTATATGGTAATAGTTTCAACAACTCCTGGATTTCAGCTTTTGACGGTAGAAATGCTTTTGTTGCTGTACATGGGTGTGATGTCATAATCCAACAAAGGGTGTACCCCTTTTGTACAAAAACAATATCAGAATTTTATCGCGAAAGGTAAAATTGTTCTTCGACAATATTTTGAAATACAAATCATAAAACCCCAATAGACTGTACACTTAAGCAAAAAAGTGAAAAAGAAAAAGGGAGAAATCTAAATGAGTGGGAAAAAAGAAAGACAAAAAGTGACCTTATCTAAGTCTTAGTCACAAGATGAAGAAATAATCTTGTTTTCAGTGATCAGGCTGAATTCATATGCAATGCTACTAAGGATGCATAAACTCCATCTTTTATGTTCATAAGAACATCATGTCTACCTTTCTCAGCAATTACTCCATTCTTCACAACAGCAATGATATCAGCCCCTTTGATTGTGGTTAAGCGATGAGCTACTACCACGGTTGTCCTATTTACCATTACTCGATCCAATGCTTCTTGTACTATACGTTCTGATTCTGCATCTAATGCACTTGTTGCCTCGTCTAGCAATAGGATCTTTGGATCCTTCAGTATTGCTCTCGCTATAGCTATTCTTTGCTTTTGTCCGCCTGATAATTGTACCCCTCTTTCCCCAACTGATGTATCATATCCTTGAGGCAATGAGGATATAAAGTTGTGCGCATTTGCTGATTTTGCTGCTTGAATGATCTCTTCTTCTGTTGCATTCCCTTGTCTGCTGTAGGCAATGTTGTCACGAATTGTTTCGTTAAACAGTATTGGTTCTTGACTCACTAGGCCCATTTGTTGCCTTAGCCAACTTAGCTTGAATTGTTTGATCTCCACACCATCCAAATATATCTCTCCTGATTCAGGATTGTAGAACCTCTCTATTAGGCTAATGACAGTTGATTTCCCGCTTCCACTCTCTCCCACTAGAGCAACAGTCTACAAAGAGAAGCGAAATGTTAAGCCAGTCGAATAAAAGATAAGGTACGTTATTATAATGTAGAGGGAGTACTAGGAAATACCTTTCCAGAAGGGATGGTTAGGCATAAGTCCTTGAAGATTTGGACATCCGGGCGAGTTTCATATCTGTAACTCACATGTTTAAATTCAATATCTCCACGAATAACAGCTAGAGTAGTGCCAACATCAGAATTTGAGTCAATCTTGGGTTTTCTATCAAGAATGTCAAATATAGAAGCTATAGAATCCTTGGCTTTGTTAGCATCTGGAGCCATTCCAGTGCTTTGAGTAACTCCAATAGCTGATAGTGTCAATGCAAAGAAAACCTGCAATTTTAAGGGTTTCTCTCAGAAACTAAACATAGATATGCAAGAGCTGAAAAGAAAGAGAAAACCAAGTTCTTTTACCTTAAAAACTTGGCCAAATGTTGCTAATCCATGATGAATAAGGACAGATCCTATGTAGAAACAGAAGGCATTTGTACAATACAGTATAAAAGAACCAAAACCTAAGCTAGCTCCACTAACAATTCCTATCTTTACTCCTTGCTTCATTGGACCTTCACATTTATTTTGGTACATGTCCATCACTTTCTCTTCTGCACAGAATGATGCCACTGTTCTAATACTGCCAACAGCATCATTTGCTATTTGGCTAGCTTCTTCATACATCACCTGGAGAGACACCATTTTTAATTTAATTCAAGCACCTATAATGAAATTTATTTAAGATGAGAAAAATGGAAAACCTTGGCATCGGCACTAAAGCCTTTGTACAACTTGGTCTGGAGGAATCCTTGCAAACCAATTAAAGGCAATACGAGAAGGATTATAATTGCCAAAATCCAATTAGCAGTGAAGGCTATCACAAGACCAGCTACTACAGTCGCTATGTTCTGTACAATAAGTGCCAGTGCATCACCCATAATCGTCCTGACTGTAGAAGCATCAGTTGATAACCTTGCACCCACTGCACCGCTGCACTCAAGAAAAATCCACTTATTTAGCCTATGATACTATGTTAAGTTAGAGGGAAGAATTCAATGCTTATTGATTTGTTAATGAACCTTGAATTTGCAGGGTCATCGAACCAGCTGATTTCTTGGTGGACTACTTTCTTAAACGTCAAAGAACGAATTCTCTCGATCAATTTCCCACCTGCAACTCCAAATAAGTAGTTCTGGAAAGGTACAACTAGCAAAGTCACCACACCAAGGCCAACGTACATGAGTGACCAGAATCTTGATTCAATTCGCAACTTATGTGGTGGGTAAAAGAATATTTTAATAGCTGTTGATAGCAAGAGTCCAAATAAGGGGAAAATCAGACCATGTATGATCGCAGCCAACGATCCAAGTAGCAAATAAGGAAGCTCAGGTTTGTTTAGTTCAGCAAGCCGCCTAATGGAAACTTTCTTTCGTTTATCTAAGCTTCCTTTATCTTCTTTTTTCTTGCCCTCATCTCCTATCTCTGATTCATGAATATCAATTAGCCCCGGAACAGGATAGCTGAGTGTGAAGGAATGTCTAGATGATCCGTGGCTTGTTGATCGTTTCACTGCTGACAATCGCTGGCTTGATGACCTGCTCAAGTTATTCTCCAAATCAGTGGTTGAATCTACCTTATCAAGGTCCATACTTTTCATGTTTTCTTCTTCCCTATTCCCTCCCTGCATTCGCACAAGCTGGGAATACGCCCCATTTGGATCTTGTATCAACTCAGAATGCGTTCCTATTTTCGTGATGAGAGAAGAAAAAAAATGCTTATAGCTTAGTTAAACACAAAAGTAAAAGCTTGTTAAACATGCTTTAGAAGTATTACCTTGTTCTAGTAGTTTTCCAGCATTAACCACTGCTATAAGGTCAGCATTTCTAATGGTTGTTAGACGATGAGCAACAACCACAGTTGTTCTATTCGCCATGACTTTCTCAAGTGCTTCTTGCACGATTCTTTCTGATTCAGCATCTAGAGCACTTGTAGCTTCATCAAGGAGAAGTATTTTTGGGTTCTTTAGAATAGCCCTTGCTATTGCAAGTCTTTGCTTTTGTCCACCAGATAGTTGTGTTCCGTGCTCACCTACCATAGTGTCAAGCCCCTATAGATCGCAGCGATGAAGAAGATGAGTTTCAAGTTAAACAACTTTTTGGACAGTCATTTGCTTATTTAACAGCTAATTGTAGGTGTGTGAATATGGAATAATGGGAAAATATTTTACCTGGGGGAGTTTGTTAAGGAACTTAGCAGCATTAGCAAGTTCAATAGCTGTCTTAATCTCGTCATCAGTAGCATTTTCTTTACCATAACTGATATTCTCTTTTATCGTTGTTGCAAACAGGATAGGTTCCTGACTTACCAATCCCATCTGCTGCCTTAGCCATTTGAGTTGAAATTTCTTCAAATTGACACCATCTATGAGTACCTCTCCGGCTTCCGGATCATAGAATCTCTCCAGTAAACTGATAACTGTGGACTTCCCACTTCCACTTTGTCCAACCAAAGCTGCAGTTTTCCCACTAGGTACGACAAGTGAGAATCCGCTAAAGATTTGCACATCTGGCCTGGCTGGATACCTGAAGTACACATCTTTAAGCTCAATTTCACCCTTGACGTCTTCCAACACAATCCCGCTGGTGTCAGATGTGTCAATCAGAGGTTTCCGGTTGATTGTCTCAAACATTTTGTAGGCTGCAGCTTGTCCTGCTGCAAATGCATTCAATGATGGTGTTGTTTGGCCTAGTGACCTGCAAATTGATAAGAGAACAAACAAAAGGGTTGGCACTCTTTAGCCTACAGTAATTTTCCAATGCAAAAAATTTAAGATGCTTTTAACAGAGAATTTTATGCTTACATTCCACCAGTCATTATAGCCATGATAACACTGATGACATCTCCACCATTATAACCTTTCTCAATTATCAGTTTGGAACCATACCAAACGGCTAGTCCATAAGTAGAGAAGACTACGAGTAAGACTGTGCCAAGTCCAACGCCTGAAACAAGCCCTTGTTGAACAGTAGCAGCACAGGCAATTTTTAGTTTGCTGTCATACTTACTTATCGCCAGCTTCTCTCCTGTGAATGCTGCAACCTAAAGTTAACAAGCTTTTAGATTAAATGTGCAAGCTTGGTACAAAAGAATGTAGAAAGATTTGGATAGTATTTTGAGTCTTTACTGTTCTGATTGCTCCTATTGTTTGCTCTACTACATTTCCAGCTTGTGCGTAGGCAACTTGTCCGCGACTTGACATTTTGGACATGATCAATGCCATAGCTCCTCCAGCAATGACAAGAGCAGGTATGCAAGAAACCAATACTATTGATAGAAGCCATCCTTTTATGAAGGCGATTATGAAGCCTCCAATAAATGTTGACAGGAATTGGATGAACTTCCCGACCTGGAATCATTCAACATAGGTTTATTTTTTATTGGTAATTTCTTTTTCTTTTCCAAGAAAACTAAAACATTAGTCAGTTGCAGTACTAGCATTTGTTTTTAATAAGGAACTGCACCTTTTCACCTAAGGCATCTTGAATGAGAATAGTATCTCCAGACATTCTTCCAATGACTTCTCCAGTTGTTGTTTCAGTGTCAAAGAAGGCAATGTCTTGCCTTAAAATTGTTTTCAAGTACAATCCCCGAATTCGAGTTGCTTGTCTCTCTCCAGTAACCATCCAACATGACATTTCTGTAATGTTACAGTGTCATTTAAGCTCTCAATACAGTGCACATTTTCTCTCCATTGCAATTTAGTTCAAGAACTCAAACTTACTAGTCTTCTTTTCTGGCTCATTTTACACTTTCCTCATACTTAGATTGGGAAATTGCCGTTTCTTGGGAATTTACTGATCCAAAAGATATATATCTATCATAATCTAAACCAAGACAACATTTT